TCTCTCTATGAGGGTTAAGGTTATATGCCAACTTGGCTGTGTCACGATTCTCAATGGTTTGGCAGTTATGATGCAGTTTGGCAGCTATGTAAGGATGTAATCACCTCCATGATGAGATCTGTTATGCACAGCCAATCAGCTGAAAGGGATTTTCCTTGGGAGTGTGGCCTGCATCCAATACAGGTGGACTTTCTGGCAAAGCTGGCTGGCTTTTGCTCTCTCTGGATCCTGCAGCTGGCTCCTATTCATCTGACCTCCAGTTCTTGGGACTTGAGCTAGCAGCTTACCTGCCAATCTTAGGATTCGTCGGCCTCTGCAGCCTGTGAGCCAGAGACCTGCTGTCTGACCTGCCAGTACTGGATTCACCAGCACCTGTAGCTACGTGAAGTCAGGAGAAGCCCCCAGCCTGACCCACGGACTTGGGACTTTCCAGCCTCTATAACCACATGAGCCATTTCCTTGATATAAATCTCTCTCCATATATATTTATACTGGTTTTGCTTCTCTAGAGAACCCAGCCTAAGACACTTCCTCTGTCGGCTCTGGAGGAAGGTCCTTGTCTGTTTTGAGCTTCTGCTCCTGGGTGATCTTCATGTGGCTTGACATGTGTCTTCCCCATCTCTGCTTCTTGCTTCGTTGTTTACTCTCTTTTATATCTCAAAAGAGATTTGACTCAAGACACATCCTACACGAATCCTGCCTAATTAACATAACAAATGGGATTATAACCATAAGCATAGAGATTAGGATTTACAACACATATTTTGGGGAACACAATTCAATCTATAACACAGAGGAAAAGGCCATGATCCAAGGAATGTGGGCAGCCTCTTGAAGACAGAAAAGGCAAAGAAACAAATTCTACCCTGGAGCCTCCGGAAGAAACCAACCCTGTGGACACATTTCAGACTTCTGACCTCTAGGACTGTAAGAGAATAAACCTGTGTTGCTTTAAACCACTGAGCTTGTTACAGCAGCCATGAGAAACTAATACAGGGAGCTTCAGGGAAGAAGAACCTGCCTGCAGAGAAGGGGGGAGGCACAACATGACGGCCCTGGTGTCAAGCGCTCTCTCAGAGGTGGCCGTGAGAATGGGGGCTGTGGGCCCGGCAGAGCTACCAGCTCCAGGCAGGAGGCCCTTGCAGCCCTCAAGGCTGATCTCCATCTTCCTGGGAGGGTAGTCATGAACCTGGACCACAACCAGGCCACCTTGGTTCACCCTCATGCTACAGAGAACACTCTGAAAACATTTTTGAAACTGTCTCCTCCCAATAACACTCCTGGCTTATCATGACAAGAGCGTTGTGAGAAATGAAATGCACTTTTGCATGACAAACAATTGCCTACCAGAAATATTTTATAGGCAGCTTTGGCAGGTACCGACAAGATCTCTAGATTCCTAAGCGTCACATCCTTACCAGCCGAGATCTTAGAGCACAAAAGGCGATTTTGAGAAGCCACTGCTCATTTTTAAAGAAGTCAAACCATTGATACAATGGCACTATTTTTGGACTTCGCCTCCGATGCTTCCTCTTCTTCGGGCTTGTTGAAACCATTTCTGTCTGCATTATCCCCATTTAAAACACACTGAATTTATTTCCAAATGAAAATTTACTCAATTGTGTATATAGAAAGTCCAATTACAAAGAGTTTAATATGAACTATTCTTTTAATTTTCTACCTTTCATTTTGGAATAACCTCAGACTTACAAAAGAGTTGCAAAAATAGTTCGTATACCCAGCTTCTCCAAATAGCATCTTGCGTGACCACATTGTTCCAGACCAGGAGATGAACATGGAAGCAATACTAACAACTAGTCCATGGATCTTATTCAAATTCTGCCAATTGTCCTATGAATGTCTGCAATCTGGTCCGGGGCCCCATCCAGGGTCCCATGTTGTGTTTGGTTGTCATCTCCTTGTTGTTGTTGTTGGGTGTGGTCGAGTCGATTCCAACTCATAGAGACTGCACGTGCCAGGGTAGAACTGCCCCATGAGGTTTCCTACGCTTTGATCTTTACAGGAGCATATCGCTAGGTCCTTTCTCCTGCGGAGCTGCTGGTGGGTTCAAACCACCAATCTTTTTGGTTAGCAGCCGAGTGCTTAACTGTTGCACCACCAGGGCTCCTTGACATCCCCTTAGTCCTCTCTGATCTGGGGCAGTTCCTCTCTTGTGACCGTGACACTTTGGATAAGTCCTGGTCAGTTATTCTGTAGAATGTCCTTTGGTTTGGGCAAGTCCAGTGCTTTTTCATGATTAGAGTGAGGTCATACATTCTGGTGGGAAGACCACAGAAGTGATGTCATGTCCTCCTCCGGCATCACTTCAGGGGTGTGCGATGTCGATGAGTCACTGCTGGAGATTATCAACCTTGGTCACTTGGTTAGGGTGAAATTTCTCCATGGCGATGTTACTATTTTCCCAGTGTGGTCACAAGTGTCTTATGGGGAGATCCTTCTAGCCGTGCACACGTCCTGTCTCATGTCACCCTTGCCCGCGCATTTCAGTGTCCTTTGATGATCCTTGTCTCAACCTTTAGCACCATGGTGTTTGCCAGATGGAGACTTTCTGCTTCCGTCATTGCTCCTGCATTGATTAACCATGATCAACAAGGAAGCACTATCCCTTCCCCCTGTTGACATATGTATTCAGTGATTTACTTACGTCAGTATGGACTCATGGATATTGATTTTATTCTATGTGCTATACTCCATTACACTCTTTATTTTGCTGCTCAGATTGCCCCAGATCTGGCCACTGGGACCATCCTCTATCTCCTGTGTTCTTTGGATAAGCGTTTGTCATTTTTTCAGCACTTCCTCATTTTCTGACACAATGAGACACTCCAGGCTGATCTCTTACTTCCCCTGCCCTGCCCCAGGAATCAGCCCTGATTCCTTTTAATGGAGAGTGGACACAGACATCAAGATCTGGGTGCTGAGTGTGCTCACAGGGTGTCATTGCTTCTAGGCCCTCTCGGCACAGAAAGCAAGGACAGAGATCTGTATTTACACACACACACACCTACCTATATCCATTTCTATATCCAGCTGTCTGTAGGTATGTTAGGAGCCCTGTTGGCACAGTGGTTAAGAGCTTGGCTACTAAGCAAAAAGTCAGCAGTTTGAATCCACCAGCCACTCCTTGGAAACCCTACGGGGCAGTTCTACTCTGTCCTATAGGGTGACTGTGAGTCGGAATCAGACGGCAACGGGTTTGGTTTCATTTTTTTTTTTTTTACATATGTTAAACACCGTAAGTCCAACCCTGATACCTTTGATTCTAATCCAACACCAGGGCGCACTCCAGCCAACCCCCTTCCTTGTTTTCTTCTCCTTTCTCCAACAGGGAGCAATGTGGCTCTCATTATTTACAACCTATACCATTTTGTCAGCGTGAGAACACACAGTGTGTTCACATGAAGAGCAAATGTATTCCAGTGCAGTACTTGCTCTGTCTCCAGCTTTGGTTTAAGCCCTTTCTTCCCTGCCCCTCCTGGTGGCCACCAGACGCATCTGTATGCAGTTAGCCCTGTGGTTTTGGAGTGAGTTCCATTCTGGCTCCCCTCCTCTCACACACCCTTGGGCTTACTCACTGTTGAGCACGGACAACAGACACCACCAGAGTCAGAACTTCACTACCCGTACACTCAGAAGAGTGCCCCCTTATCTCCCTCCCCACTCTGTGCCCACCCACCAGCTGGTCATCATTCTCCTTAGCTCCTCGTTTATCCTTCCTGAATTTCTTTTTTGTACAAATATATATGTATCTGCATACGTTCTTGTATTTTTTTAATATACTTGTTGGATGCTGTCAAGTCGATTCCTATTCATAGTGACCCCATGGGACAGAGCAGAACTGCCCAATAGGGTTTTCTTGGCTGTAATCTTTATGGAAGCAGATCACCAGGTCTTTTTCCCACAGAGCCTCTGGGTGGGTTTGAACCGCCAACCTTTTGGTTAGCAGCCGAGTGCTTAACCTTTGCACCACCAGGGCTCCTTTTTTAACAGACCACAGACACTCTTTTGCACTCTGCTGTTTTCACTGGACAGCGGGTCCTCGGCATCACTTGCGTCGGTCAGGGGCCTTCCTCCCACTGTGTACGGGCTCCCTCCTGTGTACGGGCACCTGGGTTACTTCAGATATTCTGCAGTTACACACCAGGCTGCCATGATCAGCCTAGCGCGTATCTGGCATTATGGGAAATATGGAAGCAGCTGTACGAACTGGCCAGTGGAGCTGAGGGCACGGTGAATGGAACCTCCCACTGGGTCACCGGATCAGCAAAGGACTGACCAAGACAAGGCTGTGTGAGCCCCAAAACAGAGGGATCAAAACGTAGGGAATGGGACACAAAGCAGAGTGGAAACCTCCATTACCCGCAGGCCCAGGAGGGGCAGATGTGCCAGGATCCAGGCCTGGGGTCGCCGGCAGCAGTGGCAATCGGGGTGGGGCTGTGCCCCGCCGGCTGGAGCTACAGAGACCATAGCCAGCATCACACTGATGCCTGAGTGGGCGTGCCCTGGCCTCTCCGCCCCCCCAACCCCCATCAGACTCAGATGCCAGACAGCAGCCACAGGGCCAGCACCTTCCCAATGAGCCCAGCAGGGGAGGGGACAGACCTGGACCCAACGGCGCTCATCACAATGTGCATGACTGTGAACCTGGCCACACATCAAAACACCCCAGGAACTATGCCTCGGAGCTCAGGCGCCGAAGACGTTTAAGTTGCTCACAGCAATTCTGGGATCAGCCAGGTGGAGGACCCCGGCTCTAAGCGTCTGCTAATGAAAACCACAGCACCGCCGCTTCCTTCACACGTCAGAGGACCCCAAAGCAAGCGCGGTTAGCATAAAGCAGGGGTGTTCTCGTCCAGTAAAACATCCAGAGACAACTTGTCAGGTCAAACTACAAGTGTATTGGTGTTCTATTTGCGGAGTACAACAGATGAGTTACTGCACTTAAGCCCCTAGTGTTACAAATACAGTCTGACACAAACCAGAAAATGATCTTTTTATTAGAAAGATACATGGTGCTCAGGCACAACCAGGAAACTCAGGTCAAAATCAAAAGCCAGAATTTTTCTCACTTCCTGTTTTGTACTCTATTTTGGTAAAAGGAGGAAATAAACTGGCATGTGCACTTCTGAGTACAAAAGAGAAAGCATTTTGCTAGAATGGCTACCTTCTGACAATACTTGTCTAATGACAGACTGAAATCTGTGAGCATTTGTCACAGGAGCGCTGGAAAGTACTCAGGGTCTTAGGCCGTAGACTGACCACTGTACGGGATGCGGCACCCCCGTGCTAATGGAACCACCACCCGGCACTCTTACTTCCTGCCATGAGCCCCTCTGAACCTGGCCACGCACTCAGATTTAAAGACAAAACAGAATTCCCTCTTAGGGGAAAGTGAGAATCTAAAAGAAATAACAGTTTTTGAACATTATTCTGGGAGGTTCAGGATACGCACACCCCACCTCCCCGACAGCTATGAGGCAAATCTGTGAAGAAGGCATCACCATCCTGACTTCTTGTCGAGAGCTCCACGGGCCCCCAAAGCCTCATTTTAAGGGACATTGCAGAGCAGACCTCAGGGTTGCGCCGTGTCGTGTGCGGGCTCCATCACAGATGCCCCTGAGTGCAGCCCAGCAGTCTTCCATTAGCATTTGTCTTTTGCTTCTGGTTTTCCATCGATCAGATCTCTGAATCCCAGTTTTTCCAGTGGCTCCTGTGCCATCAGTTGCCTAAAAAAGAAACAGCATTTTAAGGTGGAAGGCGGAGAAAGCAGCAGCCCCAAGGGCCATCTCGGCGACCTCGTTCAGCTGCTCCCAGCCGCTCGCTCAGTCCTGCTCTACAGCCCTAGAGTAACCTCGGAGCGCAGTGCCATTGTAGGTGTGAGTCTGCCCAAAGCCTAAACCCCCTCAGCCCACCCTCCAAGACCCGTGGGCCTGGCCTGTTCTGAGGGGTGGTGTCTGCCCCTGGACACTTCAGACGGGCAGCTGTCGGGTGGGTCGGTAGAGTGTGGATGCAGAGGTCTTGGGGGAGGGTCCACACGGGAGGCAAGGAGAGTCAGGCCTGGGGGAGGAGAGGGCACGCTGCGTGGCTCCCCAACGCCAAGTTGGGTGCATGGACCTGGGAAGTCCAGGGCTCTGCATCCATGTGCAGCACCCCCGGTCACAATGAGCATGGGTTTGATGAGATCAGAACGTATTTTATTTAATAACTTGTTAGCGTCACTTAGAACATAAATATTTGGGCATACAGCGTAGGGCTCCACTCGTTCCTGTTCCAGACCCCACAGACGTGACAGCCATTGGTGGGAAGTTGCTGGGGTGGAGCCCCACAGCCACAGGGCCAGGTCATGCTCCTGGCCCTACCTGTCAGACTAGACTGCCCTCCTCTGCGACCACGCACAGCCGAGTACAGACAACGGGCTGGGCTGCTGCCCCAGCAGCACCTCCTGCACCATATGACCTCTGACACCTGGCCAAATGGTACACCCCAGGGCCAGTATGCATGATGCCCTGGCGGGGAGGGCGGAGGATGACCTACACGGTCCCTCCCCAGACTGCAGGAATTGCATAAGCTACACAGTCCCTCTACAGACTGCAGGAATTGCAAAGGGGTTTCCACCCCTACAAAGAATCTCCCTAAGATGCTGCTCCAGGGAGGAGGGAATGCTGGTTTAGTACTGACTCAACTCCAGATTAGGGCTTGGAAGTTGCGGGGAACAAATGCTCAGGACCACCAACCATAAAACCGTCTGTCTGCAGCATAAGCCAGCGCCTGGCTGCGTTCTCCCTGCCCCACCCCCACCTCCACGTGCTGTCATATCATGCCCACAAGGCAGGGCCCCAGGCCACCAACACCCTGGGTCCACCACATGCCATTCAAGAAAATGTCCCCAAGATTGACAGATTAAAATAACTACAGCAATGGAATTCATAAACCCCAGCGGTGGTTTGTTCCTTAAACCCAAATTAGGCAAACAGTAATCAAGTCTTGCCACATCTCGGCAGAAGAGCATATCAGCCAACAGCTCTTGAAACCGACCTCTCAGACCTCCCTCTGCAGACTGCTGGGCCAACCCAACTGCAGCTCCCCAAAGGTGTCCATGCCTGAACCCCCGGGACTGTGATTACATGATTCAGGCTTTGGACCCCGAGATGAGAGACTGGCTTGGTCATCTGGGGGGCCCGATCCAATCACTGAAGAGCCTTTCTGGCTTCGGTTGGGGCCAACAACGTGCAGAGACAAGCTCAGCAGAGCAGGAGGGGCCACGTGCTGAGGATGCCTGTGCCTCTAGGAGCTGGGACAGGCAAGGAAACAGACTCTCCCCAGGGACTTCCAGGAGGAACGTGGCTCTGCTGACACCTTGAGAGACCCGTTCATATCAGACTTCTGACTTCCGGGACCGTAAGACAATAAATTCGCGTTGTTTTAAGCCACCGAGTTTATGGTAAATTGCTATGGCAGCCACAGGAAAGGACACAGCTGCTGCTCCCCTCTATGCTGCCTTTGATGATGGTGAAAACTGGTGTGTTTGGAGGCAGGAGGAAGGAACCAGGAGGAAACACCACAGCCAATAAGACCTGGTCCAAGCTATTCCCCTCAACAAACCTTTAAAGCCCAGCTCCTTAGCAAGATCACCAAAAACAACAACTATAGCTCTTAGCGTGTCCTAAAGCCAAAAGAAAAGGAGCCCTGGTGGCGCAGTGGTTAAGCGTTTAGCTGCTAACCGAAAGGTTGGCTGTTCAAACCTACCCAGCGGCTCTGTGGGAGAAAGACCTGGCAATCTGCTGCCGGGCAGTTCAACTCTGTCACGTGGGGTCACTGTGAGTCAGAATCAACTTGACGGCACACAACGACAAAGCCAAAAGAATGATCTTAAAGTCTCTTTTTAGCACAGGAGAACCTACTAAGAAAAGAGCTCCTTTTCCTGGTCAGCTTGTTCTAGTTGAGATTCAGATGGCCTCAAAAGAATTGCTCTCGAATCTACATGGAAAGCAAAATTACTCCTCACTGTTTATTAGAGCACCAGCATTTCAGAGGCACTCAGCTCGTGATTGCTACAGCTGCACTTTTACGCACTCCACGTTCTCCACGGTGATACTGGTAACGGCGATGATAACTAAGGTTTGTTGCCTGCAGACCCCGATCGCACCCAGTGCCTTACACAGATGGTCTCTTTAATTCCCCAACAACCCAGGAAGAAGGCAATGGGATCACTCTGCTACAGGGGCGATGACACTGGCGTTACGGTGACTCAAATGCATGTCCACAGCCACACAGCCAGGGAGAGGTGAAGCCCCTTAGCCAGTGCTGAGTGGCCAGCACCCCGATGGCCGAGTGGCCAGCATGCCGACGCCCACTCCACACGAGTGGACTGAATTTTCAGATCATTCTGGAGCTTTATGATCTCAGACCACAGATACGTTTGTTGTTGTCTCCGCCAGCAATGCCACCCCACTTCCAACTTTTCCTCCGGGAAGAACATGAGCCATATTTTAAAAAGCATGTACACTGTCATGTCAGGCTGAATGAGTCCTCAACGAGGCAACTTTAAAAACTCAATTGTGGTCATGTAAGAAAATGTCTATTTTTTAAAATATGCCCTTGGAAGAAAGTGGGGGGAAAATAATGTCTGGGACTGCAGTACAAAAAGAAAAAAGGAAGGAAGTTAGAAAAGAAATGGCTAAAAAAGGGGTGGGTGATAAAAGAAGCAAGCATGTTGGCATCTTGATAATCACTGAAGCTGGTGGTGGATGTGTGGAAGGACCACCATCCTCTACTTTTGTTTGAAAATTTTAATTAAAAACAAACCAAAATTCTACAGTCAAAATAACTGACCGAATCATACATACACACATGCATACTCAGACACACAGACACAGATGCATGCACTCACACGCTCACCCGTATGCTTACTCACACACAGATGTGTACACACACTCACACACACCACCTGCCCATTCATCTAAGAATCGCACCACCAGCCAGCAGAACCACTTGGTTGTGGCAGCCATGCAGAGCAGCCAGCTGCACCCTCCCTCCTCCTGCCTGTCCCAGCAGGCCTCTGAGGGCTGGATGTCCACACTGTGTCCACAGAAGCCGTGCTGAGCAGAGCCCAACCTCAGGGTGGGCCTAGGCAGCCACCCACTCTCTGGGCAAATGGGGAAAAAGAGAAGGTCCTGTGCTGGTCCTTCCTGGACCCTCCATCAGGGCAGCCAGGGACCTGCGGGGGGCCCACACGCCCGCCTGTGCAGGCGCTGTGATTAGCACCAGCTATGACTACCCTATCTGCTGATGCTCACCACCTGCCCTGGGCGGGAGCCACTGTTACTCAGGTTTTCAAGGTGACAAAACCGAGCCCGAGAGGTAGGTGACCTGCTCCAAGCCCATCTCCACAGCACGGCAGGTGACCTGTCCCAGAGAGCACCAGCAGACCCACTCCAAGCCCATCTCCACAGCACGGCGGGTGACCTGTGCCAGAGGGTACTAGCAGACCCACTCCCTGCCTGTTTCCACAGTGCCGGGGGTGACCTGTCTCACAGAAAGCACCAGCAGAGACCCACTCCATGCCCGCCTCCACAGCACGGTGGCAGCAAGGAGAAATCCATTCAGGCCCAGCTCTCTAAGGAAGCAGGTAGGTCCAACCAGCATGCTATTTCAAGATGGGAAGGGCTGGATCAGTGTGGTCCTTTGTCAGAGTAAAGCCCCTGTCGGTGACCTTGAAAAACAGCTCAGAGGCAGAACAAAGGTCCCATGTGAGGTATACACCAAGAAGGCCCTTCACCCTCAAAGTCCCAAACACCTACATCAATGACCCTCAAACACACGTGTGCGGCCCCAAAAGCACAACAGTCTGCCTTGAGGGACATGTCCCAGTCTGTTACAGGAAAATGAAAACTGGGCTTAAACTGGGTGGGTTTCTGTCAACCTGTCATCAGCAGAGACGAGGCTGTCTGAAAACCAAATTCCTTTGTGAGCTAACGACGGGCTCAAAAGGCAGAAACAAAAGCTCCCACCATTCCCCACCCAAAAGATCTAGCTACATAATTATACGTTACATGCTTCTTCACATGAAGGATTAGAAGAGTTCTTACGTTAAGTAAAATCTCCAAGGAACACGGTTAGAAAAGTTTTTGTTTTGTTCCAAAGTGAACTCTAGCAAATTCTGGTCAGGACAGGAAGGACCATTCATCTTTCATCATTTCTTAAACAGCCCATTGTCCTCCCTGTCACATTCCAAGCAGCTCCCAGTCTGAGGGAACAAAACACCAGAGCATGTTTTTTATGGTCTGAGAATGTGGAGGAAAGGAACTGTGCCCACACTCCTCAGACCTTTCGGCTCAGTCAGCACTTTCGTGATGTATGACTCCGAAACCGTCGTGACAGGCCAGTAGCACCCCCAAATTTGGAAAGAAAACACCCTTAAGAACGCAATCACGTATAATGCTGTCACTGGAAAAAAGGTTCCCGGGATTTCCGAACACCCTTTAGTACAATTTAATCCGATAAGCCTCGATTTCACACATAAACAACTCCTCAGCTCTCAAACCTTATCCTCAGGCCTGGATAAGGCATACTGTAATGACCTGGGGGGAGGGGGGAGGGAGGCGGAGGGGACCAACCTTTCCTGAGGTGTGAGAAGTCTTAACTGTTAGAGTGTACTTGCCTCTCCATTCTGCATTCTAAATATTCTTTTGACTCATTTCTGCACAAGGCATTTTCAAAATTATTGTCTCGGAGACACTTCATGAATTTCTCTTTAAAGCTTTTACATTCACCTGCAATGAAAAGAGAAAACCATATTTTCTTCTTAAAGTAAAAGCACCCCCCACACTAAACAGCAGCCTTAACAGCAGCTCTACTTCATTTTTCCTTTCAAAACTTGCTGGAAACATACTGAAAACGACACTGGAGAAAATCAGATCCATCCTGGGGGAAAGAAAGGACAGTAAGCTATTAAGGGCAGAACCTGGGTGGTTGGCATAGGGTTGTTATCGGCAGGTGCTGTCGAGTCGGTTCGGCCCATAGCAACCCTGTGCACCACAGAACAAAACACTGCTCAGTCCTGTGCCATCCTCACAATCGTTATGCTTGAGCCCACTGTTGTAGCCACTGTATCAATTCATCTCGTTGAGGGTCTTCCTCTTTTTTGCTGACCCTCTGGGCGTACTGTAGTTCAGGTAAAACTCTTGCAACTTTGCTGTTTGGACAATTTCATAACAGAATGTTGGGGAAAGAAAAAGGAATCTACTTCTGAAGCCTTACTGCTCACGGAGGCTCCCCTCAATTGCCTACCCAAACCAGAATTCTGGCCCCAAACATGCCAACATCAGCATTTTTCCGTTTTGCAATAATGAATCACTAAGTTCAAATTTAACAAACTGCAGACTTCGTAATTGGCAAAAGTGTGTTTATTTACATACATTTCCTCTCAAGACCTCAAGCGTTTCTTACTCCCTAACAACATCAGTTGTGGGGAGTCAACTCAGACTCAGGGCGATTCCATATGTGTCGCAGTAGAACCGCGCTTCATAGGGTTTTCAATAGCTGATTTTTCGGAAGTAGGTCACCAGGACTTTCTTCCACGGTGCCTCTGGGTGGATTCAAACCTCCAACCCTTCAGGTAGTGGCTGAGTGCTTAACTGTGCCACCCAGGGGCTCACTTGGGTTATGTAAGTACCTACAAAATATCCTCAATTTTGCCTCTTGGGTTATATAACCCAAAATCAAAACAGTTGCCGAGGACTCATGGCGACCCCATATGTGACAGAGTAGAACTGAGCGCCATTGGGTTTTCACTGGCTGATTTTTTCGGTAGACCCCACAGAAAGAGTGCCAGCCTGCCCTGAGACAGGGCGGTCTTCTGGGACAGAAGCACCAAAGGAAGCCCAGGATTTGGGATCCCAAAGCGGGGAATCGGAATCATTCCCCCGTCACCGGAAGGGCCTCGGTCCCTGTCCAGCTTCATCTACATGGACGGCTGGCGGGGTCGGCGCCGCAGCTGGGTGACCCTGGGCGACATACTGACACTCATTACCCGAGTTTCCTCATTTGCACTTGACCAGACACTAGTATCCTTATGGGGTCGTGGGGTTCAGCGAGGCCAGGGGATCGAGCGCTCAGGACAGGCACGACCCTGGGAGACCCATGTTCTCTAACATCAGCGAGGAATGAGGATCCTCCCGGAACACGCACTTGGAGGCCTCGGGGCGCGACCCTGACTCCGCGCTTGGGCCCGGGGGCCGGGGCTGGGACTTGGGGTCCTGGCTAGGACTTGGGGGGGGTGCGGTCCGGGCTGGGGGCCAGCTCGGGGTCCGCAGGCCCTCCGCGGCCTCAGTTTCCTTCTCCGACAAACGAGGGCTTGGACCTCAGAGTTCGGCCGCGAGCGGCGGGCCCTGACCGCGGGCGTCCGCCGCTCACCGAAGTGATCCAGCGGGAAGCTGCCCTTGTCCGGCGGCCGCGGCTGGAAGCTCTTGGTCCCGAAGTTCATTGCTGTCGACATGATGGCGGCAGCGAGGACTGCGGCGCCGACCTCCGAGCGCGACGCGCGCAGCACGCAGGGAGGCCGGCCGAACGCCGAGCAGGCGCCGCGAGAGCACCAAGAGCATCGAGCGGTGGCCCCGCCCCCGCTACAGCCAGACTCGACGGGCTCCTCCTGCACTTTCCCTATTTAACCGTCTGCGGTTGGGCGGAAGGCGGGCCACCATTCCCAAAGTGTGGAGGAAGAGACGGAAGTTCAGAGACGTGCCCAAGGACTCACAGCTCGGTCCCACGTGCAGAAGGCGGGGCGACTCCCAGGCCACGCCCGCCAGTTTCCCCCTCTACACAGAAGTGAGAACTACATTAGGAGAGTGAGCGGTAAAACCCCTGCAGCGGCTATTATCGTTTTGGCAACACCACCACCGACACCAGACTTCGGTCTCCTCTCCATCTGCAGAGCCGAGCAAGCCCCTCCCCTCTGGGCGGCCATTTTCATCTGGATGATGGAGCAACTGGGTCGCTGGCCCTTGGAGCTGGCCACTCTGAGGTTCTGTGGATGGGTGGTGAGCTCCTCTCTCGTCCACTCACCCATCCCATCCTCAGCATTTCTGCACCAGCCTTGCCAACCCTGGCAATAGCAGAGGGGGTCCCCGCTGGCACAGAGCTCACATCAGCCCCCTCCGGACCAGCTCTCTTAGGTTGGAGTGGGAGGCTCCGGAGGGCGCTATCAGCCCTGTACCTCAGCCTGATTTGGTGTAGCCATTAGACCCCCAGGTCCCTGCTGGCCCCACCAGGCAGAGGTCTGTCAGAGAGATCCCAGACTTGGAACACCGCATGGCAGGGTGGAGTGAGGGGCACATTGCAGAGAGGGATCAGGTCTGCTAGCTGACCTGAGCCAGCTCTTGCCCCCTCCTGGCTCCCAGAATGCTGGCAGAGGGCTGATTTCACACCTCCCTCACCCCAGCAAGAGACCAGAGGATCCTTCTCTGTTAAATATAACCATATAGCCAAGTGTTCACCATACATTTGAGCTCAGCTTTTTGCAGTTTTAAAACATGGCCCGAAATTCTTTGACATGCCACCAAGCAAGAGTTAGGGGTCTATGTCCTCTCCCCTTGAGTATGGACTCTGTGACAGCTTGGCCAATACAGTTTGGCAGATGTGATGCTAGGTCAGTTTCCAGACCTTTAAGAAACTGGCAGCTTCTACTTTTTGTCTCTTGGGACCCAGCTGCCATGCTGTGAGGAAGCCAAAGCCACAGGGAGGAGGCCACATGAAGGTGTTCTGGCTGACAATACCCACTGATTTCCCAGCCATCAGCCAGCCATCAAATGCTGCCATGTGAATAAGGAAGAGTTTGAGATGATTCTAGCACCATCCGAGAACAAATGTATGAGAGACCCTGAATGAGAACCGCCCAGCTGAGCCCAGCCAACTCACAGAACAGTGAGAGATAATCATAAAGGGATTGCTGTGGTTTTAAATGGGCCTGGGTGGCGCAAATGGTTTGCTGTCAGCTACTAACCTAAAAATTGGCGGCGGTTCAAACCCAACCAGCAGTACCACTGAAGAAAGGCCTGGCAATCTGCTTCCATAAAAGATTACTGCCAAGAAGACCCCATAGAACAGTACTAATCTGATGCACATGGGGTCACCATGAGTTGGAATCAACTTGATGGCAACGGGTTTGATTTTTTTGGTTTTGGTAGTTTCAAATCCCTATAATGTGGGGTGGTCTGTTACCCAGCAGCACTGATAACTGGAACAAGCCTCCATCACAAGAGACAGAGAGCAAACCACAAGGAAAAGAGGCACTTGGAGGCAACAGAGACAGTGCAGGAAGTAGAAGAAAAGTTTTAAATTTTTAATTAATAGCCTCAAGGAAGTGAAGGAAAAACAAGAACAGAAAGTTATAAGAAGGAACATTCTGAGAACCAGAGAGAGCTCTTGGAAATTAATGTATGAGAACAGAAATAAAAAAAAAGAAGGATTTGAAAATAAAGGAATTTTTCTAGAAAGTAGAACAAAAAGACAGAAAAGACAAGATCAGGAGGTCCAGTCACACTCATTCTGTGTTTGTCGAAGTTGACCTGGGGAGTTCCGGGGTGCCAGGAACAGGAGAGAGGGACCAGCAGGCCCGTTGGCAGCAGTGGCCACAGTGACTGCCTGGCAGAGAGCCAGACTCATGACCCTTTCTCCAGCATCTTCACCCATACATTATCTCAGTTCTTATTCATATGTCGGCAAGGTAGAGAGTATTGTTCCCATTTTACAGATGAGGAGGCTGAGGGTTAGGGTTGTTAAGTAACTTTCCCAATGTCATACACCTGACTCCAGCCTGCGGTAGACAGGGCTGTGGTATTCAGGGTCCCAGGGAAGTCCAGCCTTACAGCACAGAGCAGGGGCTGAAGTTTCGGAAAGGACATAGAACCTCCCAGGAAGGAGGATAAATCTGAGAGGGCCCCAACTCAATGTGCAACGGAAGTATAGTCTATCTGCCCAAAGGAATGTGGAAGAACTGCTGCCCTAGACAAGGGGAAGTGATGCTGGACAGGAAAACAGCTGGTCCCTTAGCAGAGAGCCACCAGAATAGTATCACACAAGGGCAAACCAGTTGCCGCCAAGTTGACCCCAACTCATGGCACCCCCATGTGTGTCAGAGTAGAACTGTGCTCCATAGGGTTTTCAGTGGCTGATTTTTCAGAAGCAGATCGCCAGGCCTCTCTTCCAAGGCACCTGTGGGTGGACTCAACCCTCCAACTTTTGGTTAGCAGCTGAGCACATTCACTGTTTGCACCACCAGGGGCCCCACTTAAAAGGTTAGAACTCCAGAATTTAGAGCTCTGAAGCTTGTCCCTGTTAAGATCTGGCTCAAATGCCCCCTCCTTCAGGAAGCCGTCCCAGATCTCACCTCCCTGAGGCACGCCTGGCCTCCAGCAGCGCAAAATGTTGGATTTCTGGGCCTCATGGTTGGATCTGCCTCTTTGTGTCCAGGGCCAGCACAGGGCTGTCACTGAATGTGTGTGGATAGCCCGGGCAGGGCCTGCATGGGAGGGCCCAAGGCTGCTGGGAAACCTGTCCCAGCTGCCTGGGCCTTGATCGGCTGGGGCACTGGGCCCACTTGAAACTACAAAAGAAAAATTGCACCTTGCTCTTGTCATATAGACAACTATCTACAACGCTGGAACTAGGGGCCATACTTGGTTATTCATTAATATTTTTCCAGGTCTGTGGACAATGGAGCTTTGATTGTCCAGCACGTTTCCACCTAAGCAGCTGACACTGCTTAGTAGTAAATGGGGCCCCTCTCCCCCAGAAGTTGCCCAAGGCCTTGCTGTCCAACTGCCGTGAGGTAGAGGGAAGTCCGGAGACTGATGATGGGGGTGGAGGTGAGGTGACAGCCAGCTTTTAATTACACAGTGGTTAAGAGCTATGGCTGCCAACCAAAAGGCTGGCAGTTCGAATCCACGTGCGCCTCCTTAGAAACCCTATGGGGTAGTTCTACTCTGTCCTATAGGGTCACTATGAGTTGGAATCGATTCAATGTCAGTGAGTTTGGGTACCTGGCAAATGATGATTGCTTTGTACGACATCCTGTGCTGGGAGAGAAGGGGAAGAGTTTTATCTGCAGTTCTCAGATACAAAAAGCAGGGGAGAAACCAGTGTTTGTCGAACCCTCTTATGTGCTAGGCATTTTCACATGGGCTCCCCGTGGTGGAGAACAGTGCCTGGCACATAGTAAGTGCTCAGTTCATATTTTTTGAATAAATGAATGAGCCCAGTGAAGTAGGTAATATTGCCCTCATTTCACACATAGGGAAACTACATCTCAAAGGGGTCAAGTCTCTTGCTTAAGGTTGCATAGCCAGTATATGAATTATCTATTGTTGTATAGCAGAATACCCCAAACTTAGTGGCATAAAGCAGAAATCAATTTCTATAGAAGAATCCTGATCAAAAGAGGGAAAATGCAGACCTGAATTTCACATTCTGGTGGAATCCAGACTTTCTGGAGCCATGGAGACTGGATAAGCCCTGAAACTATTTCCCTGAGATCATCTTTAAACCTTGAACCAAAAATATCCCTTGAAGTCTTAAAACCAAACAGTAGTTTCGCTTAGCTAGTAAAAATATCTGCCTTGAGCATTATGGTCTTTTAAGAACTATCTATCTGGGATCTAATTGACAACAGCAACTCGAAAGATTAGATAGGAACCTTAGGGGGCAAAGAGTTTATGTTAATGGGGGAGGAACAACTCAGAAAAGGAGGGTGAGAATGGTTGCACAACTTCAAGAATCAATGTCACTGAATTGTACATGTAGAAATTGTTGAATTGGTCTACATATATTTTGCTGTGTATATTCTCAACAGCAACAGCGAAATAAAATTTAAAAAACAGCAATAATTTATGAATTGGAAGTTTGGGCAGATCTTGGAGACAGATCCACTTGGTGTCAGCTGGAGTGGATCCATTAGGGGCTAGGGAATCCACTCCAAGATGATACACCCAATGACTGGCAAGCTGGCCGTCGATGGGAGCTCAGTCAGGGCCTTGTAGGCTGCTTGGGCTTCCTCACAACATGGTGGCTGGGCTCCAAGAGTGAGCGTCCAGGAGTACCAGTGGAAGCTGCATCACTTTTTGTGATCTAGCCTTGAACATCACACAGCATTACTTCCACCATACTCACAATTGCCCACCAGATTCAAGGACAGGGAACATGGACCCCTCTTCTCAGTGGAGGAGGGTGAAAGTTACATTATAAGAAGAGCATGTAGGTTGGATGAACAAATCTGTCTTGGAGGAAGTACAGCTAGAATGTTCCTTAGTAGTGAGTATGGCAAGACTTCATCTTACTTACTTTGGACACATCATCAGGAAAGACCAGTCCCTGGAGGACATCGTGCTTGGTAAAGTAGAGGGTCAGCAAAAAAGAAGACCCTCAGTTAGATGAACTGACACAGTGGCTGCAACAATGGACTCAAACAGCAACAATTGTGGGGATGGCACAGGACCGGGCAGTGTTGCGTTCTGTCGCGTGAGTCAGAGCCGACTCTGTGGCACCTAACAACTTGTGGATTGGGAGATATTGCTGTGGCCTCTTTGGAGAATGCTATCTGCCACAGCTGATGAGCACAGCAGCTGAGTCTGGAACAAGGTCTGATGGACTCCAAACCCCTGACACTTCTTCCTCAGCTTGTCGCTGAATCCAGGGTGGCTGGTGGAGTCAGCCCTCACCCTGCTGCCCCATCACCAAGCTGCACATCTGGACACAGTGCCCTGGGAGCCCTGCTACATCGTCTGCATGTGCCCTTCCGGAACTGTGCTGTTCTCCCATCAGGAAAACTCTAGTTCTCCTCACCTTGCATGGGGCTGGACTTAGGACTACCCTGTGCTCAGTACAGAGCCCCTAGGTGGTACAAATGGTGAAAGTGCTCAGCTGCTAAAAGGTTGGAGGTTTGAGTCCACCCAGAGGTGCCTCGAAAGAAAGGCCTGGCAATCTACTTCAGAAATGTCAGCCATGGAAAACCCTGTGGATCAACTTTATATGGAAAGGCAAGAGGCCCTGAATAACTAAAACGGTGCTGAAAGAACAAAGTAGGAGGACTCCCACTTCCTGATTTTAAAACATGCTATGCAGCTATAGTAATCAAAACAGCCTGGTGCTCGTTTAACAGTAGACACACAGACCAATGGGATAGAACTGAGAGTCCAGAAATACACCCACATATCTATGGTCAAATGATTTTTGACAAGGGTGCTAAGTCCATTTGATGGGGAAAGAAGAGTCTATTTCCATAAATGGTGCTGGGAAAATTGGATTTCCACATGCAGAAAAATGAAATAATATCCTTGCCTCATACCATACACAAAAACAAATTCAAAATGGATTAAGGACCTAAATGCGCAAGCTCAAACCATAAAATTCTTAGAAGAACAAGCAGGGGCAACACTGTCAGGCCTAGCTTTTCACAATGGATTGCCTAATATAATAACAAAAGCACAAAAAGCAAAAGACAACATAAATAAATAGGACCTCAAAAATTAAAAACTTGTTCATCAAAAGCCTGTACCAAAAAAAAAAAAAAAAAAAGTGAAAAGACAGGCTACCGACTGGGAGAATATCTTTAGAAACCATATATCCACCAAGAATCTAATAACCAAAATATGTATAAAACTTCAATAACTTAAAGAGACAAATAACTCAATCATAAAATGGGCAAAGGACTTGAACAGACATTTCACCAAAGAGGACATTCAAACGGCCACCAAACACATGAAAAGATGCTCAGCGTCATCAGCCATCAGAGAGACACAAATCAAAACCTCAATGAGATACCATTTCACTCCTGCTAGGATGGCTAAGGAAGAAAAACAGGAAATAATAAATGCTGACAAGGATGTGGGGAAATTGGAACCCTTATCCATTGCTGGTGGAAATACAAAATGGTACAGCTGCTGTGGGAAACAGTGTGGTGGTTCCTAAAAAAACTAAAAATAGAACTACCATTAAAAAAAACCCTTCGTTGTCAAGTTGATTCTGACTCATAGCAACCATATAACCTAGCAATTCCACTCCTAGGGATATACCCGAAAGACTTGAAAGCAGAGACTCAGAAAAGAGACGTGTACACCAACGTTCACTGCAGCACTATTCACAATAGCCAAAAGGTGGAAACAACCTAAAAGCCCATCAACAGATGAATGGATAAACAAAATGTGCTACATACATACAATGGAATACTACTCAGCCGGCAGGAGAAATGAAGTCTTGATACATACTACAACATGGATGGAGCTTGAAGTCATTATGCTGTGTGAAATAAACCAATCACAAAAGGGCAAATATTGTATGGCCCCACTTATATAAAAAGACAAGAAAAGGCAAATGTGTAGAGATCGAAGTTTACTAGCGGTTACCAGGGGTGAAAGGGAGGGGGAGAGGGGAAACTAACGGTGATAGAAAAATCTCATTGATTAAGGGTGGGGTTGCACAGTCAATTATTGTAAGTCCTGTGAAGAAGTTGTACACGTGTAAAAAGTTGTATTGGCAAAAGTTGCGTGATAGATACAGTTACAACAACAAACAAACGAACAAACAAAAAAGCTGCTGAGGCTGCTTATGTAGAACCAAACACCTCATGGGATTTGGTTCCTTGGTTTGGAGGTTTAGGGTCATGGTTTCCCGGGACATCCCAGTTAACTGGCCTAATAAGGTGGTTAGCGCTTCTGTTCTACCTCCAAGTTCATTGCTTAGTGCCTGGGGTCTTAAAAGCTTGTCAATGGCCATCCAAGGCACAACAATTGGTCTTTATTCACCTGGAGCAACAGAGGAAGAGGGAGAGTCAGGAACAGGAGGAGGATATGGAATGTGTGGCTAATTGCCTCCATGAACAACTGCCTCCTTTGCCATGAGACCAGAAGAACTGGATGGTGCCCGGCTACTATTACTGAACATTTTGATCAAAGATTCCATAGAAGAATCTGATCAAAAGGGGTAAAATGCAGAATAGAATTTCAAATTCTCATGGGCTCTAGACTTTCTGGGGCCTTGAGCCCCTGAAATTATTGCCCTGAGATAATCTTTGAAACTTGAACCAAAAATATCCCCTGATGTCTTCTCAAAGCTGAAAAATAGTTTAGCTTAACTAGTAAAAAAGTCTGCCTTGAGCATTGTGCCCTTTTAAGAACTATCTATATGGGATCAAATTGACAACAGCAACTCGAAAGATCAGATAGGAACCTTAGGGGGCAGAGAGTTTATGTTAATGGGGGAGGAACAACTCAGAAAAGGAGGGTGAGAATGCTTGCACAACTCGAAGAATTTAATCAATGAATCAATGTCACTAAATGTACATGTAGAAACTGTTGAGTTGATGTATGTTTTGCTGTGTGTATTCTCAACAACAATGACAAAAATGAATAAAATTTAAAGAAAAAAGGAGCCCAGTTCTTCTCTAACACACATGAGGTTGCCATGAGTCAGAGTCAACTGGACAGCAACTTGTTTTTTTGAACCCCTTGATGGTCACCCTGATCTCACCCTGTGAGATTCATTGACAAACTCTGCCCTGCCCCCTTCCACTCTCCTGGGCCAGATTTGACTCAACAACCCTGAACTTGAGCCCAGCTGGACCGGCTCTGAGGAACTCTGGGGCCCACATGGCCTGGCCTGGGTGGGGCCCATGGGCAGGGCCTCGTGTCCTTCCCAAGGGACCCTGGTCTCACCTGGTTGCCCTGTTGGTGATGAGCCCACGCCCACCCACTCAAGCCCCCGCCACCTTCTTGGGGCACCTGCAGCGGGACCCAGACCCCTGGGTTGGCGTCCCCAGGTACACACTGCAGGCACTGGGTAACTCATGGCTTTGTGAGTCGAATATTCGGACCGTTGATGGCTGGGATTGTGACGTCCAAGTTTTGCAGAGAGGTGGAGTCACTTGCTCCAGGCCACACGGCCGGAGCGGGCACGGCCGAGGTGGCATCTGACCAGATACCTCTCACTCCTAAGCTGTATCTTCACCCTGAGACGCTGCCTCCCAGGAGGGGTGGACGTGTAGCAGAGGGGCTGCTCAACCAATGTGGCCAAGGATTGTCCAGGGCACTGTGTGAGGGGGCAGCTAATGCCTCACAGCTGCCTCGTCTCTGGGGGCCAGTCCTCAGCAGAGTCCCTGCTCCCTCTTCCATGAAGTGAAGGGCAGCAGGCAACCTCATGAGGCTGCTGTTATTGTTGTTAGCAAACTCCAACTCATGGCGACCCCACGTGTGCAGAGGAGAACTGCTCCATAGGGTTTTCAAGGCTGTGGCCTTTCAGAAGCAGATCACCAGGCCTTTCTTCCAAGGCACCTCTGGGTAGGTTCAAACCACCGGCCTCTTGGCTAGTAATCAAGCACTTAGCTGTTAATGCCACCCAGCAACCCCACAAGACTGCTGCTGTTGTTGTTGGGTGCCGTCGAGTTGATTCTGACTCACAGCAACCCCACGTGACAAGAGTATAACTTCGCCATAGGGTTTCCTAGGCTGTAATCTTTGTGGGAGCAGATCACCAGGTCTTTCTCCTGTGGAGCTGCTGGTGGTTCAAACCACCGACCTTTTGGTTAGCAGCCAATCGCTTAACCATTGCACCACCAGGGCTGTTAGGAGAATCTAAAGATCCTACAGGTAAGACGTCTGCCCAGGTGAGCACTCAGGTTGTAGAAGCAATGAGAAAAACAGGCTCAACCAGAGCCCTGGCCAGGTTCCAGAACACCCTCCTCTCCACCCATCCACCCATCCACCCAACTGACTCCCCACCTGCCCACCCCTCCCCTGCCAGGCCCTGCCAGGTGGGCACGACTGGGCCCTGCAGCAAGGATCCGGGCCTGCTCCTCTCGAGCAGCGCCAAGACCTCAGCCTTGCACCCAGGCCTCGCCAACCTGGAGGAGGCGGCTGGGGAAGACGGGACCATGGCCCTGGGACCCTGATTCCTTGCCTCCAGCTGAGCCCCTCACCACACTGCTCTGTGCATCTTCCTGAGAGGCCCTGTCCCCCCCTTCCCCATCTCCCCTCCGGCCACATGGAGGGACACCCCTGGCTTGCTCCCATGTCCACAGCTTTGCATATGCTGTTCCATCTGCTAGAATGCCCTTCCCGTCAGCCTGGCCAGTCCTAACTCATCTTTCCGCCTCCAACTCAAATACAGTGTCTTCTGTGAAGTGCTCCCCGAACTTCTTGCCTCTTAGGTGCCCCCACCATGCCCAGAGGACTTTGGTGAGGGCAGGGGCCCTTTGAGGGTCTCATGTGGTCAACTTCTGTAGCCCTCGTTTCTGGCAGAGTCTGGTACGCGCAGGTGCTCAATAAATGCTGAGTTGATTACGTGTGTCTTAGCGGCAAACAGGTGCACGAGGGATCAAGAGTCAGCAGCTTGTTCGGCTATAACAATAAGAGATGCTGCCTGAGACGGGGTGAGCTCCTTGTCTCAGGGAGCGTGCAAACTGAGGCTGGAGCTTTCCTTCCAGGGCCAATGAAGGAGGATTCAGCCCTGGGAGGGGTTGAGGCCAGGCCTTAGGCTGCCCTGTCCTGGGCTTTAGGCTCTGGTGGCAGCCCCCAACAGACAGGCCCAAAGTGAGGCCCCAGCCGTCGGTGACAGGGCCCCAGCTGCAGGCCCAGCTGCCTCATGTCTGGGCAGGTGGTGTGGAGCAGGCCCAGCTGCTTCTGGTGCCAGCAGCCAGCCCCCCGCTGCCCCAAGACCATTACCAAAGCAGCAGCCCGCCCCACCACCCCCAAGGCTGGGCCACCAGGGTTTATGAGAACAGAGTTTGTCCCACAGATGGCTGGGAGCTCATAAACCCCACTGGGTGGCCAACCCCACCCTTCTGTCCAGCCCAGCCCCTGCCTTCTGCCCTATGTGGCCTTCCAGGGGACAAGAGCCATGAGGGGCTGTCACCCAGGTCAGAGTGTTTGCCATGCGGACCTTGGATGGCCCTGTCATTCACACATGTCCACGTGGTGGGTTTAGGAAGGGGCCCACCAACCTCCCGGCACCCCAGGGGCACTGCAGAGGGTTGCTCAGGCTGGGAGCACAGGAAGGTAGGGGTCCTGCCCTTCAGGCTGGGTCCCAAACCCTGTGACTCTGGTTCCAATGGGAAGACTGAGGCAGAGTAGGCAGGGCGGGCAGGCCCCAAACGGCATCGGGGTGGACTGGTCCCTGCACCACATCCTTGTCCCTGGTCCTTTAGCCAGGGGTGGGGACTGAGGGCCCCAAGCACAGCCTGCCTGGCCCGGCCCCCGACAGGGCCCCAGCCCCCTCGCCGGCACAGACGCGCCCCCACATTCCACGCCTGCCGCTTTAAGCTGGGGCTGCCACCTGCAAACCACTCACGTCACATTCTCGGGGCAGTGGCAGGGTGGGGAGCGGCACACCCTCTGTGGGACCTATAAGGCCGGGCACTGCCCGTGGGGCCACGTCCTCATGGCCCTGACTGCTGCGGTGGCCCTGCTGCTCCTGGGGCTGCTCCTGGGGCTCCTGGGGCTCTGGGGGCTGTGTCGCGCCCCAGCCCCCAACCCAGCCCCAGCCCCACGCTGGCCCCCCGGGCCGCGTCCCCTGCCACTTGTTGGGAATCTGCACCTGCTGGACATGCGGAGGCTGGACCGCTCTCTGATGGAGGTAGGAGGGTGCTGGCCTCCTGGTGCTACAGCTGCAGGCCAGCCCTGGGGGCTGGGCCACCATGCCCTCCTTTCCAACCAGTGTGGCGCCCAGCCCTGCGGGGACACAGGAGGCCGGAACCAGCTGGCCTTTGGCAAAAGAATCCCCCCCGCCATGTTCTCCCCATCCCACACAACAGACACATTGAGTTAGGAGACCTCCCAGGGAGGTCGGCCCAGGGTGGGGGGAAGCAGAACAAGGAGGGCGTCCTGGAGGAGGCAGCCTTTGCTGTGAGCCTGCAGGAGGGTCAGGTTTGAGTCAGCAGAGGGGAGGAGGGTCGTCCTAGAAGTGGCACCCATGCCTGGGGTCAGCGTGCAGCAGCGTCCAAAGGTGGGTGGGTAGGTGTGGCCAGCCTGGCTCCTTCTGGCTGGATGTAGGGGTAGGAGGCTGGACAGTCCTCAACTTGTGCTAAGCGAAGGCTGCCGCAGACTTTGCTCTGATCACCTAAACCTCCCAATCCTCCCACTCTGTGGCTCCCGCTGGACCACCCCTGGGCCCTGCCGATGTCCCCACCCCCATTCCAGCTCTGAGTCCACTGTCCTGCGTGGCCTGGTGAGGGCTGGGAGGGCTGCATGCTGACCCCCACCTACCCCCAGCTCGCAGAACGGTATGGACCAGTGTTCACGGTGCACCTGGGTCACCAGAAGACAGTGGTGCTGACGGGCTTCGAGGCGGTAAGGGCGGCGCTGGTGGGCACCGGGCAGAAGCTGGCTGATCGGCCACTCATCCCCATCTTCCAGCATATCCAGGGAGGAAGGGGTAGGTGGGGCCACTGGCTCCTGGGGCCCCAAAGGGCTGGGGGCTCTGAGGAGAAGCATGTCCTCAGTGTCACTGGGCAGGAGCCAGAGAGGGGCCTGGGCTCTGGGACTGGTGCTGGGGAGGTAGTGAACCCCAGGAGAGAGAAGGGTGCTCAGGGACAGCCAGCCAAGTCTTCACATCCATGGGCCACAAGGCCAGGGCCCAGGCAAGGCCAGCCTGTAGGAAAACGGGGCCCAGCTGATCTGCCTCTGGCCAGCTCTGTGTGGCGTGCTCACCAGGCCATATCTGGCACAGGCATCTTCTTCTCGTCTGGACCCCACTGGAGGGCGGCACGCCAGTTCACTGTCCGAGCCCTGCATGGCCTGGGCATGGGGCGGGCGCCTGCCGCCCACAAGGTCCTGGAGGAGCTGGAGTGGCTCGTGGTGCAGCTGGACAGCTATGGAGGTGGGCGAGGCTGGGCACTCCCTCCCAGGGTCCACATGTGGGACGGGCATCCCTCCTCCTGGATCCATGTGGGTGCTGGGCACCCCCTCACAGGTCCCCAAACGGACTTGGCACCCCTTCCTGGGTCCACGAGGGGGCTGGGCACCCCCCTCCCAGCTCCACAGAAGTGTCGGGCACCCCTCCCAGGATCTACATGGAGGCTGGGCACCCCTCTCCCGGGTCCTCATGGGGGCTGAGCACCCCCTTTTCAGAGTCCCTGCCCCGCCTGACGCCTCTCTCCCCCTCAGGACGGCCCTTCCCACTGCCCCTGCTTGGCTGGGCGCCCTCCAACATCACCTTCACCCTCCTCTTTGGCCAGCGGTTTGACTACCAAGACCCTCTGTTTGTCTCGCTGCTGGGCCTCATCGATGAGGTCATGGTCCTCCTGGGCTCCCCTGGCCTGCAGGTGAGGGGGCTGGGCCAGGCCGGGCCGAGGGCAGGACTCAGGGGCGTCCCACCACTGTCCCCCAGCTCAGCAGGAGGCAAGGCTCCCTGGATTTGGGGTCCAAAGACAGAGCTAGATCCTGTTTCTGGCATAAGTGGATACGCTCCCTGGGCCTCATCCCCTGGTGGCAAGTGAGGGGGTGAGTCCAGAGCAGGGGCTCCTCAGCTCCCCGCACCCCCTCCCAGCAGTCATGGACGCACCTGCTTGGGGGAAGGAGTGGGAAGGGCAAGTATTTCTCCCTAGGATTTTGGGGCATGATGTCCTTAAGACCCCCAGCCCGGTAGTCTAGGGATTATTCATCTGACCCGAGTCCTTCTGCCTTCATTCAGTTTTCAGAACCCCCAGGGGCACATGCACTTCATTTTTAAGAATACTTAAACTTTTAGTATTTTTAACATTTAACTTAAATTTTTAAAACACCACTCTAAGCTCTACATTTACATAAGCTCATATGTTTAGGTGCGCATCTATATTTGTAACGGGCATCATACCTCATGTGCACTTTTTTTTTTTTTTAACATTTTATTGTGCATTAGGTGAAAGTTTACAGAGCAAATTAGCTTCCCATTCGATAGTTTGTACATGAAGTGTTCCGTGACGTTGATTTCATTCTCCACGATGTGTCAGCACGCTCCCCATTTCCGTCCTAGTTTCCCCATTTCCTTTCGTCTTTATTTTCCACCCCTTCTTGCCTTCTCATTTTTGCTTTTAGGCAAATGTTGCCCTTTTGATTTCACGTAACTTATTGTTCTAAGGAGCACGTTCCTCTCAGGTGTTACTTTTTATTTATGGGCCAGTCTGTGGTTTGGCTGAAAGCTGGTCTCCGGGAATGGCTTCAGTTCCAGTTCAGAAGGGTGTCTTAAGGCCACAGTTTCAGGGATTCCTCCAGTCTATGTCACACCAGTAAACCTGGTCTTCTTTGCGAATTTGAGTTTTTGTTCTACAATTTTTCTCCCAATCTGTCCAGGACCATCTGTTGTGATCCTAGTCAGAGCTGCTGGTAGTGGCAGCCAGGCACCATCTAGTTCTTCTGGTCTCAGGGTGGTGTAGGGTGTGGTTCATGTGGTCCATTAGTCCTTTGGACTAATTGCTCCCTTGGGTCTTTGGTTTTCTTCACTCTGCTTTACTCTGAACGGTAAGAGACCATTAGTTGTATCTTAGATGGCTGCTCACAAGCTTTTAAGACTCCAGACACTCAACTCACCAAAGAACTTTGTCTTTATGAACTATGTTGTGCCAGTTGATGTAGATGTCCCCCAAGTCGATGGTCCTTTGTCTTTGAGCCTAGGAACTTTGTCCTGTGAGGTGTATGGTCATGTCTAATAAGTTTCCCTGACTGTGGCCCGTGTGTGCTTTATTGTCTATATTAATATATAAACAGCACCTACAGTTATATATGTAGAAATATCTACCACCAAACCTATATCTGCAGGTGGGTGCGTTCCCTTCCACCCTTCCACACCTCTTGGTATATCTATCTACCTATGTACCCATTCATAAATTAGTGTTTGTTAATACTATTGTTGCAGGATTGTCTCTGCTATAGTAATTACTGTTGTTGTCCTTTGTTCTTGTGTTCCTCTCAGTGTCCCCCCCATACCTTGGTCATGTTTTGCTGACTTCCCCCATATTATGTATTGCCTTTCCCTTCATCAATATTAACACGTATCTTCTATCTAGTTAGTAATTTTCCCTCTCTCCCCCTCCCATCCCTGGTAACCATCAGAGAATTTTTTTTTCTGTGTGTAAACCTTTTCTTGTTTTTTAATAATAGTAGTCTCATACAATATTTGTCCTTTTGTGATTGACTTATTCACTCAGCATAATGTCCTCCAAATTAATACATGTTGTAAGATGTTTCAAGGATTGTTATTCTTTATCATTGCATAGTATTCCATTGTGCCTCTGTACCTCAGTTTGTTTTTACATTCAGCTGTTGATGGGCACTTAGGTTGTTTCCATCTTTTTGCTATTGTGAATAATGAAATGAAAGAAAATGTCTATTCATGTCACAGCTCTTATTTCTTTAGGGTGTATACCTAGGAGTGGGATTGCTGGGTCATACGGTATTTCTATTTCTAGCTTTTTAAGGAAGTGCCATACCATTTTCCATAGTGGTTGTACCATTTTACATTCCCACCAACCATATATAAGAGTTCCAATCTCCTCATAACCTCTCCAACATTTGTTATTTTTGATTAGTGCCAGTGAGATGTTATCTCATTGTAGCTTTGAGTTGCATCTCTCTAATGGCTAATGATCTCAAGTATTTCTTCATGTGTTTGTTAGCCATCTGAATGTCTTCTTTGGTGAAGTGTCTGTTCATATCCTTTGCCCATTTTTTAAATTGGATGATTGTCTTTTTGTTGTTAAAGTGTTTAAGTTTTCTGTAAATTTTAGAGATTAGACCCTTGTCAGATATGTTGTAGCCAAGAAAATTTTCCCAGGTTCTCTTTGTACTCTTTTGGAGAAGTCTTTTGATAAGCATAAGTGTTTAATTTTTAGGAGATCTCGTTTATCTAATTCATCTTCTGCTGTTTGTGCATTTTTAGTTATGTTTGGTAATCTATTTATGCCATATATTAGGGCGTCTAGCATTATCTCTATTTTTTCTTCCATGATCTTTATAGTTTTAGGTTTTATATTTAGGTCTTTGATCCATTTTGAGTTAGTTTTTGTGTATGGTGTGAGGTATGGATCCTGTTTCATTTTTTTACAAATGAATATCCAGTTTTGTCAGCACTTTTTGTTGAAGATACTGTCTTTTCCCCATTTAATGGACTTTGGTCCTTTGTTGAAGATCAACTGTCCATAGGTGGATGGATTTAGGTCTGGGTTCTCAATTCTGTTCCATTGATCTATGTGTCTATCATTTTGACAGTATAAGGCTGTTTTGAAAACTGTGGCTGTATAGTAGGTTCTGAGATCAGGTAGTGTGAGGCCTCCTACTAGTTCTTCTTCCATGATGCTTCACTTGTCTAGGGCCTCTTTACTTTCCATATAAAACTAGTGATTAGTTTTTCCATCTCGTTAAAGAATGCTGTTGGAATTTGAATCGGGGTTGCATTATATGTGTAGATTGTTTTGGGTAGTATTTATATTTTCACAATGTTGAGTTTTCCTATCCATGAACATGGTATGTTTCTCCATGTAGATCTGTTTAGGTTTTCTTGCAGTAGTGTTTTATAGTTTTCTTTGTAAAGGTCTTTTATGTCCCTGGTTAGATTTTTCCTAAGTATTTTATCTTTTGGGGGGCTATTGTAAATGGTATTGTTTTACTGATTTCCTTTTTGAAGTTCTCTTTGTTGGTGTAGAGAAATCCAACTGATTTTTGTATGTTGATCTTGTATCCTGGTATTTTGCTGAATCTTTCTATTAGTTTCAGCAGCTTTCTTGTGGAATCTTTGGGGTTTTCTATGTATAGGATCATATCATCTGCAAATAGGGATAGTTTTACTTCTTCCTTACCAATTTGGATGTTCTTTATTTCTTTTTCTTGTCTTATTGCTCTAGCTAGGACCTCTAGCACAATGTTGAACAAGAGTGGTGATAAAGGGCATCCTTTTCTGGTTCCTGTTCTCAAGGGGAATGCGTTCAGTCTCTCTTCATTGAGAATAATGTTGGTTGTTGGTTTTATATAAATGCCCTTTACTATGTTGAGGAATTTCCCTTCTATTCCTATTTTGCTGAGAATTTTTATCAGGAATGGGTGTTGGACTTCATTCATGTGCACTTTTTCATGCTAAATTCCCAAGTAAGGCAACATTGTATGGTGTGAGGTAAGGGTTAACACCAGTAGCCATGATTCACGGAATGCCAGAGAAGAACATCTTGAGTTTTCCTGCACCCCGGTCCTAATTCTACTGAGTGAAGTGTACATGGGGGAAGGGGGATAGCAGGCTGGTGGGAGCATCCACTGTCTCCCTAGGATGACCCTTCATCCTTGTCAGTGCTGACCTGGGCTTCTGACTCCCCAGTTAAGTTCACCCAGGGACACTTCCCTGCAGGATGGAGACCAGAGGGGTCAGTGTGGATTGAAAGGGACAGCCAGTGGCCAGGACTGCACAGCTCCCAGGGCAACAGAATGTGCCACATGTTCCATAGCCTTCTTCACCGCGGAGGTGCCACATATAACCTGCTACTAGCAATTGTTAATGTTGAGGAAGAAAGGTAGAATCGGGTGGGTTGCGAGAGTGGCTGGCATTTATGGAGCACCTACTGTATGTATGCCAGATGCTGTGCTGGCACCTCAGACACACCCATCCTCCTATTTTATCCTCAACCTAGTGAAGGAGACTGTATTTGAGACCATTTTACAGTTGGGTCAGCTGAGGTTCTTAAGTTTGCAAATTCTGTTTTTTAGTGACTAAAGCAGATGCAAAGTTATTTTCATAGTGGCGACACCCCCCCCCCCACCTTCATCTTATTCCCTTGCTAAAACTTGTTGCCATCGAGTGGATTCCGATTCATATCAACCCTACAGGACGGAGTAGAACTGCCCCACAGGGTTTCCAAAGAGTGGCTGGTGGATTGGAACTGCCAACCTTTTGGTTAGCAGCCGAGTGCTTAACCACTGTACCACCAGGGTGGATGGAAAACCAAAAAAACCAACCTGTTGCTGCTGAGTTGATTCTGACTCACAATGATCCTATAGGGCTGAGTAGAACTGCCCCATATGGTTTCCAAGGATTGGCTGGTGGATTTGAACTGCTGACCTTTTCCTTATCAGCTGAGCTCTTAACCACTGTGTCAACACAGCTCTGGGAAAAAGGGGCATAATTGCAGGAAGCTGTTGTGACTTGCACACACCCAGCTCAGGTATTACCTGTCCTAGTGCTCCTCCTTGCCCAGCAGATGGAATGTCTGTCCCAGGTCCTGGAGCAAGGTCCTTCCATCCCCGGTCTTGGGGGTGAGGTCCCTCTGTCCCTAGTCCTGAGGGCAGAGGGCGCTCCCTTGTGGCCGCAGCTGGCGCAGACCCTGAACGTCAACGCAGCTGCAGAGGGTGGAATAGATCGATGGACTCTTCCCCAGGGTAGGTCCTGCGCTTCACCCACCGCATGGCCCCCTCTACCCCCAGATGTTCAACGTCTTCCCCCAGCTCGGAGCCGTGCTCCAGCTGCACCGGCCGGTCCTGCTCAAGATCGAAGAGGTGCGCGCCATCCTGAAGACACTCCTGGAGGCCCGGCGGCGCCATGCGCTCAGGGGGAGCCCAGTGCAGGGCTACGTGGACGCCCTGATCCAGCAGGGCCAGGTGTGAGCGGATAGCCGGACCTCCCTCAGCCCAGCCCCACCTAACCAGGGTTCACCTAAGAGGCCTGTGGGGCGTCCCGAAACCTCCCCAGAAAAGAGTGGGAGGGGTCTATGCCAGTCCTGCACCAAGCCACGCCTCGTCCTGTACGGGGCCTTCTCTGAGCCGCAGTCTCCTCCTCTGTGCTGCTTCAAAGGGCTGCTGGGAGGATGGGGTCCTCCCTGCCTGTTGCCTGCCTCGCCCCACCCCCGCGAGCCCACGGCTGTGTTAGGGATGCACGGGGCAGGGCTGGACTCCCAGGCCCTCCAGCCTAGCCCCGCCCGTCCCCACCCCCTGCAGGGGGAAGAACCCCTGGGCCCGTTTTCCGAGGCCGACATGGTGGCCTGCACCCTGGACATGGTCATGGCCGGCACGGAGACCACCTCGGCCACGCTGCAGTGGGCCGTCCTCCTGATGGTTCGGCACCCGCGCGTGCAGGGTGAGCCCAGTGCAGCCCCGAGAAGCTCCGCAAGCGGGTCGGGGCGGTGGGGAGGGGGGTGCTCCCACAGACGCCTGCCTTTTATCCCTAGGCCGCACACAGGCCGAGTTAGACCGCGTGCTGGGCCTCCGGCGGCCCCGGCCCGACGACCAGGCGGCGCTGCCCTACACCAACGCGGTGCTCCACGAGGTGCAGCGCTACATCACGCTCCTGCCGCACGTGCCGCGCTGCGCCACTGCCCCCACCCGGCTGGGAGCCTACTTGCTCCCCAAGGTGCGGTCCAGGGTGACCTGCTCCTACCCCTGCTTCCCAAGGTGGGGCCCCAGACCCCCCCCCCACTCCTGGCCGCCCCCACGTCCGACATCCTCGGCCCCTTCAGGGACCCCCCAGGTGGCCGAGCCTGGCCTCGCCTATTGGAAGCAAGAAGGGGGTTCAGGGGCAGGAGGGGGCGGCCGTCGGTCTCACAGCCTCCTCCTGTATGGGCTTCAGAGCCAGGGGATCTGGGTTCTCACTGTGTGACCATGGTGGTGGTGGGTCTTACTGTGTGACCTAGGGGCGCTCTCACTGTGTGACCTGGGGGGGGTTTCACTGTGTGACCTGGGGGAGGTTGTCACTGTGTGACCTGGGGGGGGTTGTCACTGTGTGACCTGGAGGGGGTCCTCACTATGTGGCCTGGGGGAGGTCACTTGGCCTCCTGATGCCAGGTGCATCACCTGTGGAACGGGGCTGTAACAGCTGCGGGCAGAGCTGTGTAAGGGGCCTCCAGCAAACCTCCCAGAAGGCGAAGCCGCCCCCTCTTCCCCCTTCATCCCCTTCCGGGGTTGCCCTAGCCCACCTGCCCACCCGCCTGCAGGCAGCCCGGCCCCTCACTCTCAGTGCCCCATTTGGGGCCGGCTGCCCAGGCTGGATACAGCCTCTACCCACGCAGGGCACGCCTGTGATCCCTCTGCTGACCTCGGTGCTCCTGGATAAGACCCAGTGGGAGACCCCCGAGCAGTTCAACCCTGGCCACTTCCTGGACGCGGATGGGCGGTTTGTGAAGCGAGCGGCCTTCCTGCCTTTCTCTGCAGGTACAGTGGCCCGAAACAGTGGCAGCCCCGGGCTCCCAGTGGGCGGGGGCGTCCCCACCTCCCTCCTGGCGCTGCCTTAGATCCAGGGCCGGTTCCTCCCAGGTCAAAGCCCACCTGTCCCTGCCCCTCCAGGCCTGTTCTCAGAGCTGAGAGGTTTGTGTGGAGGATCAGGGGCTGCTCCCGTAAACATAAGAAAGACCGCAGATCACCACCCCGACGCCGGTGGAGAACGCCCTGCCTTCCCGACACCCCCTCCCGGCCCCACTCTGACGCTGGCTCGCGAGGAGGGGGGTAGGGGGTCGGTCCTGGGGGAGAAACCAGCGCCATCTAGAGGGAAGGGGCTGCTTCCTAGTCGCCGCCAGCCCACCAGCGTGCCTCGGTTTCCCGCAGGTCGCCGTGTTTGCGTCGGGGAGAGCCTGGCCAGGACCGAACTGTTCCTGCTGTTCGCTGGCCTCCTCCAGCGGTTCCGCCTGCAGCCCCCGCCCGGCGACCACCCGGCAGCCCTGGACGATTCGCCCGCCCCGGCCTTCACCATGCGACCGCGGGCCCAGGCCCTGTGCGCGGTGCCCCGACGGCGCTGACCTGGACGGTGGCCATAGGGCGGACCTGAGGACACCCCCGCGCGGCACCCGGGACCCCTGCCGCCCCACGGCCACCCCACTCTCAGCGTGGGGCGCTTGGCGGGGGATCGCAGGCTCCTCCACCCTGCCCCCGCTACCTATGGACCCACGAACCGACGGGCGAGACGCTTCATCGGCTCCTCTCTGGGACCCCCTCGTCTAGGGGTTGTGTCTTGGGCGCTCAGCGCCGGCCCATGCAACCTCGTTCAGGGGGTGGGAGGCCCCCATGGAGCACGGTGGGGGCTGGGCTCTCATGGGGGTGGGGGAGGCTGACCCCGTGGCGGGGAGGAGCGGGGGACAGCGCCCCTGCCGCTCCTGAGGCCCCCAGCCCCACCCCGTTCTGCCCTTTCCAAGGTCCCCGCGCCTGCACTCCCCAGCTGCCCCACCAGGGGCCGCTCTCGGCCCGCATGGATGCAGTGAGGGGGCTCACGGGCGTCTTCCTTTGGGGAAGGTCCCCCTGGCGGCCGCTCACACCTCCCCCACCCCCATGGGACATGGGGGATGAAGTTCCAGCCCTGGGCTGGTCCCAGTTTGCTGGGACCTGGAATAGACCTCTGGGCCTCAGTTCCCCATCTGTACAACCGGGGTGATGCCAACTATGGTACAGGCTTTGCTGGGACAGTGTAGGGCTCCGGTGCCGGAAGCCAAAACCAGGAGTTCCACTCTAAGAGGCCCTCTGTACTGACCTCCCCAGGGCCAGGGATGACTAGGGGACCCCCTGGTACCACCTCGCCCCAGTCCCCGTGTAATCAGCAGAGACCAGCAGGGGCAGCTACTTCTGGAAGGATCCATATGGAATCAGGGAGCCCCTGCAGGGGAGCAGGATGTGGGCTCCTCACAGGTGACTCCTCAGCCCCTTAGGGCCCTGCTGCAGACAGGGGACTGAGGCCAAGAGGCTGACACACCCCACACCCACAGAGGCGGCTCTGGGGCTTTGGGCACCTTGTTGTTCAATCTTCCCCAACTCTTGAGTCCACCACTGCTAACGCCCCCTTTATGAATGAGGGGATGACGGGGCTCAAGGGCACATGGGGGCTCACAGTCACGTCCCCGAACGGGGCCTCCCGCAACCCTGACCTCTCTGAACGAGGGTTGCCAAGTTCTGCCAACGTGGTAGGGACCAGCTTACATTAACCATTGTGTGACCTTCACATCTAACTGGGTGTCCTGCATTGTGTCTGGAAGCCGACCTCTGTTCCATTACTGGTGGCCTGGGGCAGGGGCAGGGGCAGGGACACATTGTGCAGGCTGGGACAGGAGGGGGCACTGGAGCTGTCCTGCCAGCATGGGGCAGGGAGGCAGCCTCAAGCACTGGCCTTCCACACTGGCTGCCCTCCCCCTCCCTCAGAGCTGCCTGGCCCATGGCTGGCTCCCACAGCTGTGCTGGCCTGGGCTCTGAATGGGGAGCTGCAGAGCTGAAAGTGAGGCAGCCTCTAGACCAATCATCATTCCAAGAGCCTGTTCTCTGGTCTATTCTGACATCTCCCACTTTCAAATCTCATCTCTGCCCTGGCTGGGGAGGGGGCTTCACGATAATTGGATTGCTGCATTCAGTGTCGTGATCACGATGGGCCCTGTGTGGGGGGCACAGATTTGGGGGTCAGCTGTGCTGTATCATCACGGGGAAAGGGCGCCATCTGAGGCGAGGATGCCGATGCTGAGCTGTGATAAAGCTGGTGGTGGGACTCGTGGGCTTGATTGTTCTCATCTGTATGTCTGAAATGCCTGACATTTAGAAATTAAAAGTGAGATAGAGAGAGGTGTTCGTGGCAGAAAACAGCAGATAGCAAGTCCTGGAGGCAGGAGGGAGCACCCCCTCTCAGCTCTGCACCTCACTCCCACACCCCCAGCCCTCTCCCACGCTGTCCCGGCCCCTCCCCACTCCTGCTGCTCTGAGTTTGCTCCTTTATGCCTGTCCCGTCTGGTCCTGACCCACCTACCCAGTGTCTCGAAAACAGCACATGGCCATCTTGGGGTGGGGGCTGTGTCAGATTTTGAAGCAGAGGTAGCGAACTCACGCCAGCAGAAAAGGAAACAGCCACACAGGCGCGACATGGTGTTGGCCCTGAGAGGTGTTTCATTTTACTGACGGTGGGAGGCGCCACAGCCATGGGCCCCACCATGAATGTAGCAGGCGACCAGGAAAGATCTGGGAAATGATCCAAACACAGAGCACCCCCACGACCCCCGACACCACCGACCACAGCAGGGGTGGGGTGGGGGTGGGGCTGCAGCTCTGGGTCAATTTCTGAAAAACATCCCCGTAGAAAAATAGACATTTCCCTCAACAAACAATTTCCTTTGCGGGGGGCCAACGGCCGTCCGCAGGTGAGGACCAGGGACTTCAATTAGCTCAGAGCCATCACCTGCTCTCATCCATCCATCCCGCTGCCGTTGAGTTGATTCTCACTTACAGCAACCCTACAGGACAAAGTAAAACTGCCCCACAGGGTTTCCAAGGCTGTAATCTTTATAGAAGCAGACTGCCACATCTTTCTCCCAAGGATCAGCTGGTGGGTTTGGTTAGCAGCCGAGCGCTTTAACCACTGTGCAACCAGGGCTCCTCCCTCCCGCTGTAGAGGGATTTAAACAATGCAGAAGGGTGCAGCTCCCATCCCAACAGCAGGCAGATGCCTCCAGAGAGGAAATCAAGGCTCTGGACGTGGGGCTCTTCCTGCCTGAGGAGGCTCAGGTGGGGGAGGTGTCCTCTGTGGGAACCGAAGCCAGCTCCGCGCTGGCCACTGGCAGCCAGTGCCCCTCGGGCCTGCAGCCCCACTGCAGTGGGGAGGGGGGGTGGCCGAGCTGTACCCACACGGCCCAAGGACGGCCCCGCTGCTAGGAGAGCAGCTGCAACACCTGGCGGATGCGCTGGACCTGCCCCAACAGGAGAGGGTCCGAGCCGCCAGCTCCCGCTGCATCCAGCGCCTGCATCCGGGCCTCAGCCTTCTGCACAGTCAGCTCGCGGGCCTGGCCCTTCAGCCCCTCCAGGTAGGCCAGCAGGGTGGGGAAGTGCTCATCAGGAACCTGGATGGGGCAGAGACGAGAGTAGTCAGTCAGGCAGGTGGGGCTGGCAAGTGGATCCTGCGGCAGAGAAGTGAAGTGCCCACAACGTGGTGCCCTGACTCGAGACAGAGGGTGGGGTGACCAGGCAGCATCACCTTGTGAAGAGCTGGTTGGAGATCAGGCCCCTGGGCACCCCCATCGTTGAGGGCCTTGTGCCTCACCTGCCCCCGCTCCGTCCAACTGCTCAAGGCCAGAAGGAGCGGAGGAACGTGGAGACAGGCCCAGGCTGGGGGAATGTTTCTTCTTCTGCCCCAGCCGAGTCCGGCACAGACCATGCTGGTTTCCACACCCCCCAAAATCCCACAGAATCAACAGTAAGTAGATGCATGTTCTAAAGGGATAAAACTGCTGGGCTGAGGGAGTGAGAAGAGAGAATGGTATCAAGACCCTGGGGGTGTGCAAGCAGACGGGCTGACGACGGCTGACTTCCCGGGCGTGAGGAGCAAGGAGCTCACCCAGTAGCATGAAGAGACGAGAGAAACCAATGACACTGCAGAACCCTCCACCCTACCCCAGAACTGAACGGACCAGTTGTTTCTAGAAATAGCAGTACGGACCAGAAGTGGTTGAAAGTCCACTTTAAAAGAAGTCAGGGACTCATACTTCCTGATTTCAGAACTTGCTGCAAAGCTACGGTAATCAGGACAATGTGGTTCTGGCCTAAGGACAGACGTACAGACCAATGGGATAGACGTGAGTCCAGAAATGAACCCTGACATCTGTGGTCAACTCAATTCCGACAAGGCTGCCGACTGATTCCATTCAATAAATGGTGCTGGGACAAGGGGACCCCATGCCCGGGGCAGACTTCTGGGCTCAGCTCAAAGGCTCCTCCCTCACGAGGCTTCCTTGACCCTGAGACTGACACCCCCCCCATTTTGTACACTCGGGGCACCGTTGACCTCCTGCGGTGGGAGTCACCACAACTGTCAGAATAAATGACAACAGTGATGGGTCACAGCCCACCAAGCAGACAGAGTGGTGCTGATGGATGTCAGCCAAGGAGTCAGTCAGTACACACGTGGGAGAAGAGTAAGCTCTTGTTCACAGTGGTGCCAACTAAGGAATGTGGGTAACACGATGGCGCCATTGCAGCTCTGTCTGAGCACATGACTCTGTAGCTTCCAGGTCTCCCCCCACAGGACGTGTGTTGATCCCAGAGGAACGGTTCCTCCACACGAAGCACCGGGCCGACTCCACGTTAACCTGGCCACTCACTCCCCCGCCCTGAGCCAGCCCCCTCCTTGGAGCCTGCTTCCTCTCTGTAGTTAGGGGTTGGACTGGGGGTGTCCAGGCAGAGGGGGGTTTCACCACAAAGTTCTGTGAGAACAGGCCTCTCCAACGGGCGTCTTGGCCCAGGGTTTCAGCATGGCCGCTGGGTAGGGGTGACGAGGAGCTTTCAGGCTGGGATGCCCCCTCCTTGCCCTGGAAGGGGGCGAGTGGACATGGCCCTAGCCCCTGGGGGATCTGGCTTGAGCCCCCACCTCAGGGACCTGGCTGGATTCCCCCCTGCTCCTCAGAAACCTGGCCTGAGCCCCCCACCCCAGCCCCTCAGGGACTTGGCCTGAGCCCCTACCTCAGAAACCTGGCTGGAGTCCACCCCTGTGTCCCCCCGCCCCTCAGAGACCTGGCCCGAGCCCCCCACCCCCCCACAGACCTTGTCGCTGTCGTACATGTGGACCAGGAGCCAGGTCTGCCGCGTCTTCTGGAACTTCCAGTCCTGGTGCTTCTGGGCCCAGCTGGGGAAAATCAGGGGCATCTCAGGGTGAAGGAGCTGGGGAGACCTCAGGCCCTCACTCAGGAGGCGGACCCCAGCCTGGGCTGCGCCCACCTCCCACCCTCAGATACCCCAGCCAGAGAGAGGAGGATGTGGGGCCGGGCCACCCACATCCCCTTTGGGGACCATCAATGGCAGCCCTGTGACTCCACAATTCTGATGGTAACATTCTGGATTTCCAGGTTTGGTCACCGTCATTTGATACATGTTTGGTGCACACTATGGCCAGTTACCTGTTGGCAAAACATTTCCAAGCAAACCCAACGAGAGTGGCCAACGAGGGCTCAGCCAGGCCACAGCGAGGCCACCTCAGATGTGTCCTCACAGGGCTACTGCCAGCTCCAGGGGAGGGGCACACATGGATGAATGTGGAGATGGAAAGCCCTAGATGAGGGGCCAAGCTAAGCGCACCAAGTCACCCATAGACAATGCCTCAGCATCCTCGAGCTGACCTGAGCCCCTTCCCTGTCTCTGAACCCAGGGCCCATTTCTTCATCTGGAAAACGAGGACAGTGACAGATAGGACCTCTCTGCCCCCACAGAGCCCTGTCTGTGGTCACATCCCCATCTTTCACAGGGTCAGGGTCTAGGGATGGGGTCACCTTTCCAGAGCAGCCAGATTCTGGCCTGAGGTGGTGGCTCCCACAGCGTTCCCCGCCTGGGAGGCGGAGGAGCCCTGGACACACTCTCAGCAGAAACATGGCATCCGATCCAGGACCACCTAGCCCAGACCCTCCACCTGACCTCCTGGCTGGAACGTGCAGATGGTAGCCCTCTGAGCCAGTCCACAGAGCTGTGGGAACAGGGCCCGTTTCCCACGGAGGCTGTTGGATCACATGCCTCCACCTCCTCAGAAAATGTCTTTGCAAACGAAATTTCTAACTCCCTGGCCTTACTTCCGGGCCTCTAGAAGCTGTTGCACACGTGGTCAGCTCATTATCTGCCATTCTGCCCAAGCTATGACCGAACCAGGTGTGGGCTCCTCTCTAACAGAAGGACCCAGCCCGTCACCTGCGCTCCAGGCTCCCCTACAGACCCCTTACCCTGGGACAGGCCCACCCTGCCCTCTGCCTGCGTGCTCCCTACACCCCTGGCCTGCTCTCCATCAGTCCTCTCGACAGGAGCCTTTACTCCTGAGCCACCTTGCCCATGAAGCCCCATGGCCTCATCCCGAGCACCGGGTAGGGGGCTCCTTACCTACAGAGGTAGTCCAGGGCCAATGTGGCCCCCGAAGGCGCGGGCTCAGGTGTGGCTGGGGTCTGCGGGGCAGGGCAGCCCCCTGCCTCCCACAGGCGCCGCTTCTCCTCCTTCTTCCGTTCCTTCTTCAGCTTCCGCTCCAGGGCCCGCTGCTCTGCTGGGGACAGGGATGGTACCTGGTTCACCTCTGGCACTTCGCCGCTCGCTGCCCCGCTCTGAAAGTCAGGGGATGGCCAGCTGTCAGGCCTCTGGGAAGGACCCCTGCCCTCTGCCCCCAACTCTCAAGCTGGTAAGACATCTCCAAGGACTCACACGGCCCTGCTGATGGCGTTCAGCAGAGACTTCGTGCACTGGGGCGTGAGTGGTCAGATAAGGGTGGAGACGCAAGCCTCAGAGTCTTGTGGGGAAGGCTTGGCTTAGCTGTGCTTAACCTGCTTGTCTGAAATAATCTCGGGCCCCCTCCCATAACAGGCAGACCTCTGTGGCAGACTCTGAGTTCTACAGCCACCTGGCTGCCTTACGACAAGACCTCCACAGGGGTCTTGTCTTCCATGGGGGTTAGGGAGGTATTCACTCTCCTCTAGCAAACATTAACTATACCTTCTACATGTGCATAACCCCTGCCTGTTGGGAGGCCTTGTGCTGACTGGGATGTGGTCACCGGGGCAGTAGTCCTGGGGACTCTAAGACACCTGTGTGCAGCTGCCTGAACCCCCAATTCCTGGTACCTCGTTCCCTCCTGGCCCTGTCCAAGCTGGCAGCTGAAGTGGGTTGGAGGAAGATGGGGACCTTCAGCCATGAATCTAGGTCCCTCTGACCCCTCCAGAACCCAGAGCCCTGGAGGCACAACCCACTCCCCCAGCTCTCAGGGTGCCTCTTTGGTGGGTTGTAGGGCTATGCTGTGGTCTTTCCCAGCCGCCTCCACCCCCCAGCCCCACCTTAAACTAACCACACAGAAAACCAGCAGGGACAATGGCAGTGCAGCCACCCTGGTTGGGGAGGGGCCACTGTGACTGGGCAGCTGTCCATGCACCCAGTCTTTCCTGGAAAAAGCCGCAACAGCAGTTGTGTTTACCTGGATTGGGGCCAGGCGCCTGAGAGGAAATGGCCTTGGGGCTGGAATCCGGAGCCACTGCACTTCCAGGAAGGGTGAGCCCCTCACCCCCGGCTCACCTGCACCTTCCAGCCTTCTCAGAACCAAACCTCTTCTGCCCCACCCTCCCCCAGGACACCAGGCAGGCCCCTTAAATGTCAAACCTGACCACCTCTGTGCTCCCACTTAGTGCACCCCCCCTTCCGGAATCTTCTGCAACAAAAGAGCTGGTTTCTCCACCCCCTCCCCCTGCCCGCGACGGAAACCTCAGGGCTGCGCCAGGTGATTGTTGAGACAACCATGAAGGACACCCATACCCCAGCCCTGAGAGCCTCCTCCATGTTGCCCCTTCTGAGTCTGCCCACGAAGCCCCTCAGCAACGGAGCCCTCCACCAACGGTGTCAATTGGTCACAACACAGACCACTCAGCGGGGCCCATCTTAAGGAAGGAAGATTTTGGGCCCTGGACTTCGCTGATCCAGTGGCTGGGCGCCCTTCCCTGTGAGTCACACAGATGACCCAAGGACCAGCTTGGGGATGCAGCCAACAGGTGGCAGCGGAGGTCTCGGCAGAGTAACAGGAAGGGGGTCCCTAAGGGTGCTAAGGAGCACCTGTTCCTTCGGCTACTCTTCAGATGGAACGCCAGGGGTGCACAGGCCAGAAAGCATATGACAGCTTCAGGGAATCGGTTGGAAGACTGAACTTTAACTAGACTTATGACCCCAATTATTAGAATTCAAGACGGTAACTCAAGGCAGCAAGTGACTTTTTCCGGAAAACAATGAAGAGCAAGAGATGGAGTGTTCCGCACCATTTTTTAAATTAACTTTTTACCTTGAGATCATGGTAGACTCACATGCAATTGAGAGAAATAACAGAGAGACACGCGTACATTCATCCAGCCTCCCCCAGGAGTGACAGCTTACAGAACTGCAAGGCAGCCCCCCCTCCACCCCCGGCCAGTCCTGTGACCATAGGACCCGTGGAACTTCAATGACCAGAAATACACAGTACTCAGCAGGATCAATCAGTCAGCTATACAAAAGATGCAGTATAAACTGTTAAATTCTTTAAAGGCTCATTGTTCCAACCAAAAAGAAGAAAAAAAGGTACAGCTGGCCCTCCGTATTGGATTCAACCAACTGCACACTGAAAATATTTGGAGGAAAAAAGGTTACAAAAAGCAAAACATGAATTTGCCGCTCCGAGCACTACGCTGAATCCACGGGAATGAAGTGATGTGTAGGCATCCCCTGCTGTAGCCTCCCGCCATTTCAGAGCCTGTCTCTCTCCAGCACTCCTTTCAGCACTGTTCACCCCGCATCTTGTCATTCCCTAAATGATACAGTACTGTATAGTAACAATTTACATAGTATCTGCATTGTATTAAGTACTGTAAGTAATAAAGAAAGGATTTAAAGTATACAGGAGGATGTGTGTAGGTTATATGCAAACACTATGCCATTTTATATCAGGGACTTGGACTGGTCCAGGAACCAATCCCCCGCGGACACCGAGGGGCGACCAGAATTCAGTATTTGGTTAACTAAACACGTGACTGATACTTAGTTACCTCCTCACTACTATACAAATAGAACATCTGATAATAAAGACCCCCTCCTCTCCCACTGTTTGAGAAAACCTGATTGAAATTAACACATGTACATCAGCAATTCAGGAAGTCACTGCTCTGTAACCGTGTAACCCAACAATAAAACCAGCCAAGCCTCAGGAGCTGGGAGACCAAGGACACAGCTGGCTGGGACGGGACTGCTGGCATCTCCCTGGCCGGACACTCCGGCCCCTGACTTGCGTATCGCAGAAGCCTCTGCTAGCCTGGCAGATCTGAGCAAGGTCAAGGACCCCTGTCCCCAACATGCCCCAGGCAGGTCACCTCAGAGCAGGGAATGAAACAGGCTTCTCCAGGGGGCAGCTGTCGTTATCCACAGTGGTGAGGACTGAGGTGAGAGCTGGTCTGGTGGGCTAGGCGCTGCAAGGAGGCAGACACGGGCTCTGCCCTCGGGGAGCTCACAGTTGGACACGTGAGCTCCTGGAGGACAGGGACAGCGGCTGTCTCGGGGTCCCAGATGTAGGTGCAGGTATAGATACAGTCAGACGTTCTTGTTGGCAGTTCTCCTGCGAGAGCAGGGCGTCCTCCTCGTGGGCCATGAAACCTGGGTGCCTGGTGAAGCCACACACCCTCTCAGAGTGAGGCTCTTAAATGGGTAAAACACAGTACACAGGCTGACTTGGGGTCCAGGTCACAGACTTGGGCACAAGTTACAGGTTCAAGGTACAAGTCACAGATTCTGGGTCCAGGTCACAAACTCGGAGTCAAGCCACAGACTTGAGGTATGGGCCACAGACAGAAGAAGAAGGTATGAGAACATCATAGCGCCCGCCTGAGACACAGTCAGGCACAGCCTCATTAACGTATCAGGTGACCAGGCCCAGCTGGCCTGACAACCCCGTAACTCCTGAGGAGCGAGGTGTACAAGCAGCATCTTGAGATTCCTGCTGCGGTGATGTGATGTGACAACACTGTGCCTACTGCTGGGGTGCTACGACATCCACAACACGAGATACCACATTTCAGCAAGGGGTCAGTGAGAATAAAGACCTCCAGCAGACACCTGACATGCGAGCCGTGAGAACAGACCTCACTTCCCACAGCACACACATGCCCTCGGGGGGCTGGGGTGCTTGTGAGGTGTCCTTACAGGTTGAGTGCCCCCAAGCCCCTCCCTGTCTCTCCCACAAGGACACGATGCAAACTGCTGGTCTCTCCCCGGAAGCACATGCTCAGGATTCCAGAGAACTCCTCGAAGACCTGGACTCCAAGCCCAGCTTCCCGCCTACAGAGAAGGAAATGAGGGTTGTGCTGGGGAGACCCTGTACCGGCCTCGGCTCAGGCCAGAGGCAGAATGGGGGTGTGACCCTCAACTCAATCCAGGCCAGTGGTTTGGGAGAGTAGCTTCCCCGCGGTGGCCCTGGCTCATGTGGGAGTGCCTCCTGTTCCCGGAAAACCTCACTCCAGTGCTGATGCTGGAATGCGCTTCAGTCCCTCTGCCAGGACTTGAAGTGAGGGCTCCAGCAGGCCCCGGCTCCAAGAACGGCTTCATGCTACAGGCTGCACACAGGCCAGCTGGTGCGACAAACCGCGAAGGAGCCGGAAGATGCCCCAGGATGCAGACAAGGGCAGCTCAGAGCCCTACTGCTGCTGTGTCAGGAGGGTGCAGGGAAACAGCTTTTTCTAAGCTTTGCTATTAACTTGAGACTGAAACAAAAGTGTACTGTGAGAGAAAGTTTGTTAAATGCCAATACGCAAGGGAAAACTATAGGACATGCGGTAATGTATCTGGACAGAAACCACGGAAGGAGCCAGTCTGAGGACCAACCGCAGGACTGAAGCTGGTGGATGAGGTTGGGCCCACCGACACCGGACGTGGGCCCTTCCCGGTGCTGAGTGGTGGCCGGAGGCAAGCCAGGACTGCAGGACTCTCCCAGTCGGCCTGGAGACACAGATCCCATTTCAGTGCGGGTGAAGGGTGTGGTGGGGTGGAGAAGATGGGACCCTTTCTTCAGCAGATCTGTCTGAACAACTTCCCCAAAGATGGACAGCCCCAGCTGACTGGAACCCAGCCCCACTCTGACTAGGCGGGTCCTACCTTCCCTCATGGGCAGAGGATCTGGCTGCAGGATAAGGGGTAGGGAGCATGGACCCTTGGTGCTTGGCAACTGGATGCCAGTGTCTGGGCTGAGGTAAGGGCTGTAGGCGACCAGAGATGTCCCTGGACCAAAAGGCAAGCCGCGTGGGCTACTCTAGGATGGGGAACCATCTTTAAGGCTCAGGCGTGGTTTCTGGAAACTGAAAGCTCTAGGACACTGCAAGTCGCCATTTCTGTTTTCAACACGACACGTTTCAGTTTCACAGGCCATCCACCCCATTCTGCACCTGGGCTGTCCTGGACAGCATGCTTCCTCGTGGCAGACAGACACGGGGCAGAGGGGGTCCTGAAGAGAGGAAGGAGTGTGGCTCTGCTGTGACCCCTCAGTGACAGAACACGGAGGATAGATGTCCATGAGGCATCCCTGGCAGTACCGTGCACAGGGGTCCATCAT